GAAGAGAGGGTCCACTATATAGTAGTGCTCAGACTTCACTTTGTCTCTCGCAAACACTGAAGTTAAAGGACTCCCTCTCACTTTTGTCAGTCCTTTAACAATGCTGCACACATCATTTCACTTAGCTTTCCACAGTGGCTCTGATGACTGTAATGCAAAAGATTTCCATAAAAATGTATACTGTAAAGAATCCGTGTGTGTCCATCTGGAAAACGTGCATAATAGAAATAAAGATGAATGCTCCTACTCCGGCCCAGCTATCTTCTAGTTTTAAAATAAAAACCATATATTGTGTAATAATTCATTTATGCCTGTTCTTGTTTTGTAAACTGTCATCCTATTTTTTTAATCACCAATTTTAAGTTGTACTTAAACTAATAAACGTCTCATTTTAATACTATTTTGTTGTTTTGTTAAACATTATACTCCAAAGAAAACTGGGCAAAAAATAAATAAACAATCTACTGAACAACATCATTTCTCATTCTTCACTGGAAACGGCAACTTCTCAAATCCATTCATACACGAATGTGAATCCAGTCTGCTATACCAGAGTGAACTGCACAAATATCCAAAGAAACAAAGATTATAGCTGGGTGTACAGTCATTGCCTGCTTGTTGTGGGACATAGTAGTGAATTTAGTTTTTCGATCACAGGCGGTAGAAAACTGTGGATCTGTGTGAAGGACAAATCTGTTAAAATTCCGACTGCAGCAAAAAAGATTCTGCTATCGGGAAATACTGAAAGTAACAGGTGATATGATTTTCCATTGCAGCTGCACCCTAACTAATGTCGAAACGAACCAATAATTTGCTGATCACAAATAAATACAGTCTGCAGCAGGCAGCTGCCTAAAGGTTGTTTAAGGTATCTATGATAGAGAAAACAAGAATATACAAAATGCAGCAAGCTTATATGTATGGTGCGGATCCATCTGTAGCTGATGCGGGGCTGATTTGTACACCCAATCTTACACCTAATCTTCATAACTTTATTTGACAGCATTTTTATAGCAACCTGAATTTGAATAGATCTGTTTGCAATCCAGACTTGTATTTGATTGGCTTTTCTCTCACAGCACAGCAACAATTGCGAACTAGGCTGCTTATCTATCTGGACTCAACTCGTCAGCTTTATGACTGAGTGATCTCTGTTGACTGGTACGTTCTGACACATGTTGGAAGAATCTGACAAAGGGTGGCTATTAAGACTAGTTGGACTACCACTGTAACAGACAGCTGGCCTTGTTAAAACACCTTGGATTATTGACCCGAGTGATCTGATGTGGGTATACAGTATATCTTGCCTGTCTCCATTTTACTCCCATTCGAATACTCTGAAGAGGAGTCCGTTGTCATCACAATGTCTCTTTCACTCCAATTCTACTGCCAACGTGTGAAAAACCTGTCAATTTAGAAGAAGAGTTTTATATTTGCTAAGTGGATATCAGAAACTACATCAATCTCTTTGTTTCAGAACAACAACGTTGTTTATGAAACTAAAGACACGCACAGCCACAGGACATCGATATGAGACATCATTTATTTAAACATTTATATATTTTTTTGTGGCAGCTGGAAAACAGAGAGGCCACATGTGGTGCACTACTCATAAAACTGAGCTGCTCTGAACTACTGCAGAAATCTGTTTTAGATTGAGAGCCATTGACTGACTCTTCTAACAAGACCCTACCTTAGTTTATCTCTCACTGTCTGTAATCCCACTCTAGGAGAGTAAATAACCTGCCAGCACTTCAGTTTTAGGCTTGTGAAACTGATGGCTCTTCAAAGCAAACTGCAAAATTGTGCAACACTGTTAACCAACATGTAGGAACCTGAAAAGGGGGAAAGTGGGAGGCTGGGGGCCTCAGGGACGGGGTTAGCAATAATTAACAGCTTATTTTTATAACATTTGCTTATTTTGTGACAATTTGACTGATAAACTACCACACAAGCCTACGTCCTACTACAGATATCAACATCACAGCCCATTTCACCAACTACTGAAACTGTATTTGGACAAAACTTATAACAGTAAAAGCATAATAGAGTCTTTTATCAAATGTACGAACCACATATATAGTAATTTGTATCAACATGACATATGTGGTTGCCTGGTTAGTGGAAGGACAGACAACAGCATCCAAGACAGTACATGATAGTTCTCTTTGTGTGTTAGGCGCGGGCAGATACACTTAAACATCTGGGCTAAACAAACAGTCCTTCACAGGAAGGTACCGCAATGTGTTATTAATAAAGGCTGCAGACCTTCTGCCTCTTTCTTTGCCCCTCCCTGGTGTACCATGTACACTGAACTGTCTGACAGATGTCAATGATAACAATGCAATCTGGGGTAATTCCTGTAGCCACGTCTCTGTGAAACACCAGTGCACTCACAGAAGTAGGCTTTTTTTTCTCCATCAGTCTCTGTTGTCTGGATCCGTCTCTTTATACACACCATGTATCTCCGTGTCAACCCCTGATTTCTGCGGGAAATCCAATTTGTCTGGACTGTCATGAAACAATAGTGGAATGAAAAGTGGAAATAACCTGGTTAAAATACATACGTACAGACTTGCAAGTGTTGTATGTTTTTCTGATTTACAGTACTTAACAATAGCTGGCTACTTGAACTGTAGGTATCTGTGATAAGTAGTAGTAGATGAAATGGTATGCTATAATCAAAATGTGAACTATGCTTGGAAAATCTTTCTCATTACATAAAAAAACGTCTGAATCTGGTTAAGAAATCTGGAATGCAGTGAACTTCTAGAAAATAAAGGGGAAAAAAGTAATTTGTAATTGGAAGGCCTGAAGAGTTGGACAAAGAAGGCAAAGCAATGAAAGGCAAGGAATGATAGGAAAGTTACTGAGGCTGCTCTATTATGCTCCATTGAGTTTGACATTTTAGAGTGCTACAGGTTGCAGAATTTCCTACTCTCTTCATCTTCTTTTTCCTTTCTCACACACACACACACACACACACACCATGGTGACACATTGGCCCTGTGCTCTTTGGCTTCCTCAAGCCCCAGAGTGCTGCCAGCCAAAGCCAAGGATTAAACTGTGGATTAAACACATCCCACACATACCAGCAGGCATAAACACGTGCTTATACAAAGCACAGAATAACACGGACAGTGGAGCTTGGGCGGTTTACGAGTCACCCACATCTTATTTTACAGTAGCTTTGTTCTACTGCTCAGCACTCAGAAACTTCCCTTGGATAGTTTTGAAAACTAAGGTCTGCCTGAAGTTTAATATAAAATATAAAAAACGTTTCTCTCAATTCCACTGTTGGAGGATTTCTGCACAGTCTTCTTATGTCAGTTAAATCAGACTATCGATGGGTATAAAGCAGTGCACTAGTACAAATTTTCAATTTTGTGTTAGGGTAAGATTTTCATAAACATTACACAACTGTTGACTGTTAGTTTCTTTGGGTGCTTTTAAACAATACTGTTTAGTCAATATAAAGTGAATAAATACATTTTCCTCATTGTTACAGTTAATTTATGTGGTCTGAATACAGTATTTGTCCCTTTTTGGGTACAACCACACACACACACACACACACATTAGGTAGATAAAGCACCTGTTCTGACAGAAAAAAATAACCCACCGTCAGTGTGACATGAGCTCCTGCAGTTGATAGCTAGTTCAAGTTGATAGCTTCCAAAATACAAATTGAGCTTGTGCAAAGCCTTCCTGTTGTGCTTACTCACCTCCACTCAACACATATGTAAAGCCAAGGTTAAAAGATTTTTGGAACTAACAGCAGATAACCCCCCATAATCTAAAATAACACGGTGAACAATAAGTTCAACAAGATTTAGACAAAACACCTCCAAGCAAGCTTGTTAAATAATGCAAGGAGCAGGAATAAAAGATTACACAGGCAGGATACAGCCAATTCTTTTATTTCAACCATCTAACGGAAAGGATGTTTGGATTTGTTTTTTGTTTTTTAAAGAGAGATTTGTGAACTGATTCTGACAGGCATGTATAACAAACAATTGTCCTTTTTTAAATTTTTAAATTATTATATAGGTAATAATGCTGGTTTCAGATGGCTGAACACGCCAGGTAGTTTCCTAATACAGTTCCCAAGTGGACTAATAGCCTGCGTCTGAACTGAGCACTGCAGAATATGTTTGTACACCCAAGTTGTTCAGTTTTTGAGTTTTGCTAAAGCATCTTCTGTCAGTGAGTTGGCCAATGGCTGTCCTGCTTCATGGTGCTCGACGTCCTCATTCAGTTCCCATGTTCTGTGGCCATCAGACCGACTGCGCCCAGTTTCTTTCTGGTCCTGTGTTTGTCACAGTTGCTCCCTGAATTTCTTTGTTTTTTCCTGCTTTGTTAATAAAAATTGCTGTTCAGTGAATCTGAACTTTGAACTACCAGTTAG